CAACTGTGAAGTTTTCCAATTCTTCTTGACAAAATGGTAAATTACACATAGAGTAAAACAGATTAAACATTGAGAGATTGCATGAAACATTGGAAATATGAAAATCGAAGCATCTTTCTATAAATAATAATTCTTATTTTAATTAGAGATATCATAAATCTTAATTAAATTAAAAATAAGAAACGTACGTTGATATCGAAGGATAACAGAATAATACCATATGCCACAGCATAATTTTGAATTCCGCTTTCGATACCGATAGCGGTACAAGCTGATTTGGTCCTTTTACAAATGAATGCTATAGCATATCCAATTATTATTCCAGTTGCTGGTAAAAATGCGGAAGTTACAAAAATTTTCCACGATGCTGTAGCAAACATGTGTTTGTACATAATTATCAATATTATCAAAATAATTATGACAAAAATCATACCTATAGCATTTACCCACTGTTAACGAAAAAATCACAAATAAGATGATTAAAATAAATAATGGAAAGACGTCGAAGAGTGTTACATACCTTAGTGATATAAGAAGCTATCTTAGGAGCTTTCCATTTTATGATCATGCCCACTGTTATGGGGGAAACAATCATTAATAATGATAATGCAATATTGCCTTAAGGTATTATTAAGTTCTTGGCTCCTGTATTCCTTGCATACATCGAAATATTCAAAGGCATCATGCCAAGAGACGCCACTATAGATATTGTAGTCATAGTCACGCTGTAAAATTGTAAACATTAATGTGGAATGCAAATATAAAACAGTGCCGTAAATAGGTAGGTGCAACGGGTGCGCAGAAGGAGGAGGGCCCTAAAACGGGGTATCAAAAGCGATCAGTGTTATTTTTATTGTATTTGTTTTTATATTTTTTTTTTCCAAGAAACAGGAAGTCAAAAATACAGGGCACGTGAAAAGCTAGTTACGACAATGTAGATAAATAATTAAATGGTTCATACATACCTAAGTGAGACGTCACCATCCAAATAATATGTAAACATATTGGAAACTGTTCCTCCGGGACAACAGGATATAATAAGCAAACCAGCCGCAACACTTGATTCAAATTGAAATATAATATTATAAAGAAATCCAATTAATGGCATTATAATAAATTGACAAAAGAGTCCAATGGCAGGTCCAATAGGTTTCCTAATCCCTGTATAAATCTATTTGTATATAAAATATATTATTTAAAATATTCGTAAGAAGAAATTAATAGGATGAGAGAGTTGAAAAATGTGAATACCTGATTCCAAGAAACATCCGCTCCAATAGCAATCATTGTGATTATCACAGTAAATATTGGAAGAATATTTCGAGCATTTTTTAGATGTTCGTTAATATAGTATTCGGTTGTATTATTATTAGTAGAATTTCTTTCAAGAAAATCTATGGTAATGTTTTCCATGCCTACTTTAGAATAAGAAATAAATACAAATTTGGTGAATAATTTTTCCTTGTATTTAATTTTCAGCATTAAGAAATTACGAAAACAATTTTCAGGTTTCTATAACAATATTTTACAAATTCTAGAGCTATTTCTGAATAACAAACAATCAATCTTTATATAATACCCATATAAACAGCAGCGGAACTAGGGATTTCTATGTGTTTGAATAAACACTGTTCATAAAATATTAATAACTTTAAATTTATGTAATACGCGATCACTTATAATAATAATATTTTCATGAAACTCGATATAATTTTCATATGAAATATTCTTCAACAATTTTTCGATCAACTTGTTAGATCCAGAAATAGTTTCCTTAAACAGTTAGATCCTATTATTGAAAACTACAGGGAGGTTTCAAATAGTTTTTAGCATCCATATTTACGTGTTTCCATCACGTTTTTCATCGCTAAATATAACATCCTGTAGTAAGTATCTAGCAGAAATGACCATCTTTTACGGACTTCCGATGTGCTTCTCGTATTGATAAGTATTGTGACGAGTTTTTTAACAGGAGATTTTCCCTAAAATCATTGTCTTCCACTAAGTTTCTTTTAATTTGATATCTTGCAACACAAACTCAATTATAAGTTATGAATTTTATAAAAATAAAAGTTTCATTTTTAGAGGCTCGAGATGCCACTGGATGGAAAACAGAATAGTTAAAGTCACTGATAATTCAAAAACGTACTTCTACCATACGTGTTTATACTGTACGACTATTTCGTAATTCTATTTATTAAGGATAAATTTGCTAAAAATTTTAACACTAACCAACAAATTAAGCTTTATAACATGGACTTGTAAGAACACGATAGGAGAATAGCTTTATTTACTACTTTTAATAATGTTATTCAAATAAGACAGACTTAAAAATAGCCTATATAAAAACAATTTAAATTAAAAATATTTGGAGTAAATATTTTGTTTTAGCTTTTGGAAAAACTCTAAGATCTACCATATTTATTTTCACTTTTTCCGCCTAGTGAGCCTTTATATCAAGCTCATCTTGGGTTCGGACAGCCCACAATCAGACGGCCTGGTAGAGGGGGATGAGGCCCGTCTACGTGGGTTTACATCAACCCATTTATCAGGCGCGAATCGAAAATCAACCGGTATTCAATAGTTTTGCCCATTTGCTCACCGATGGGCTCAGTACAAAAAAAGTAAAAATAATAATAAAAATATTTAACAGGCCAATTGGAGTTAAGAACAGATTTCTAGGGTTAAGAACACACTCGATTCATACTGTTAGACAATTCTTGTATAGCATTTGTAATCTTACATACTAAATTCTGATCAAAACGGTTACAACAATCAATAAACTGTATTTAGAATTTCCATTTAATATAAAAGTAAATGTTGAAGTCCATAGATTTAAAAATATTTTAACTTACATACCTTATTCTTTCTCTACGCTGCAATACCTTTCCAACCGAGAAAAGATGTTATAAAAATATGATGTATCATCTTTCAAGAAATTAAATGAGATTATGAC